ATACACAGGCAGCTTTTTGCCATTTTGGGGAGGTCAACATTTTATTTTTTGCATCTTGGCACAGACTAATGCTGAGAAGCTCAGACACTTAATCCCCACCAAAGTTCCATTTGGGTGCTTACACATTTTTTTTCCCCAACCTTAGCAAAATATTCAGTCATTCTCACTACAGGAGAGTCAGCCTTCTTTGCGGATGACCCTCCCCTCCCCAGGCAATTTATTGGATTTATCTGGCCAGGGGATAAATAAATTATCCATTCTGGCAATCCTCAGAAAAGGTTCTACTCTGGGGGGCTATTGCTGGGGCTGACCTTGCCGCTAGCATGCCATTTTAAAGGCAATGCGGCAAGTCCTTTAAGGGGCTAATGCAAGCTGTTAGGAGAGCCTGATAAAAGGTTTTCCTGGCTAAGAAGGTGATAAACTGTTGCCACGTTAATCTGCAGATGAAAGGAGGCTGCCTTCAGTGATATGATTTAAGCTGTTTTAGCCTAAGTGCTACCCGCTTGATAGGGATGGTCAGCAGTCGATTTAGCCCCTTCACCTTCAGAAAGCAAGGCATCTCACCGTGGCATCTTCAAGTGATGAAAGGGGACGAGTGATCAAGCGGATGGAGGGAACCATCCAACTGGATCTGATCTTTCTCCACGGAGAATGGAAGAACTGAGACCCCAAACCCACTGCCAGGCAATCGGCACCCGTTCACTGAGGGGTTTCTGTGGCAGCCCCTCTTCTAGGGGCTACAGATTCAGAAACACAGGGTGCTCACGGCCTGGTGCCTGAGACAAAATGCAAACCAGTCAACACAAAACTGTTTACAGATCATATTTTTGAAGACTATAAGCAAGAGTAGGGATCCGTGAGAAGCTATATAAAAACCTTTCTTAGAGAAGACCATGTTTACGCTGAGTCTTGATGGGTAAATAAAAGTTGGTGAAGCAGAGAATTAAATTCTGTGCCAAGCCCTGCGGGAATACAAAAATAAATAAGATTCAATCCCTGTGTTCAGAGTTCTCAGCCTTGTCTTAGAGAAAAATTACCTACATTTTAAAAAAAAGAATATTGTACCTGCCACATAGTAGGTACTCCACTAATACTTTGAATGTGTGAATGGAATGTGACCAATGACTACCATGGAGGAATGCACAATTTCTTTGGGAGCACAAAGAGAGCAACTAATTTGGCTTGGAATTAGGGACAAGTTAGGACGTTTGCGTTGGTCCTTGACAGAGGAAGAGGAGTTTGTCTTGCTAACAAGGGAGGGGTGGGCATTTCAGACAGAGAGAAAGTTATGAACAAAGTTATGAGCATAAACATCTGCTCAGGGTCTCACAAGTGACCTTAGGTAGCTAGAGCCGAGGCTCACGGCTGTGATTTTGAAACTGAAGCTGGAGAGATGTTCTGGAGCCAGGATATCCCAGCCTTGTGGGCCTTGCTGGCATCCTGGGACCCCATTTGTGAGGAATGCGCAGCCACTGCTGGTACAGGCTCTGCAGGGGCAGGGGCGGGGGAGGGGGGCGGGGAGTGGTTATTCATGCATTTACTAGTTACCTTGCTGAGCACTACTGCAGTCCTCTGTTTACAAAAAGGACACATCCCTGCCTGCATGGAGTTTGCATTGAGTTTGGGAAAGAAACAATGAAAAAAATGCAAGAAATATACACATTATAATATCACATACTGCTAAGTGTAAAGAAGAATGCAGATATCACAGGGTAAGGAATACTAGTGAGTAATTTAGAGTTATTTCAAGTGAGGTCAGGAAAGGCCCACTGGTCTGACATTTTGGTACAGAACTGAATGAAGTATGGAAACATAAGTATAGGGAAGTTCCTTCACTAAAGGAATTGGGAGACCTGGGTTCTAGCCTCTGCTTAAGCACTTTCCAGCTGAGTGGTCTGAAAAATTATTTTAAATCCCATGGACATCCATCTGGCTGTTATACACAGAAAAAATATAGGAGTCTTTCACAAACTAGTTGTTCAATAAGTATGTTAGGTGACTAATACAGTAGTTACCAATTATATTTTGAATAAGCACATTGTTCTCATCTTATAAAATCCCAGGTTAAGAACACCTCTAAATTTTAAAGATTTTATGTATTTTTTAGAGAGGCAGGTAGGGAGGGAGGAAGAGAAACATTGATGTGAGAGAGAAACAGTGATCAGCTGCCTCTCGCATGCCCCCAACCAGGGACCTGGCCTACAACCCAGGCATGTGCCTTGACCAGGAACCCAACTAGTGACCTTTTGGTTCACAGGCCAGCACTCAACCCACTAAGCCACACCTGCCAGGGTGAACACTTCTAGATTTTGTAAGTATTTATTTACTGGTGATGGATGATCCTAAACTATCATAGCCAAGATTGTGGTACTCCTAGTGAACACTCATGATTAGCAGATCCCTGGAGGAACATTTTAATAAGGAATATTTTTTCCTTCTGAATATGTGAAACATTGCAATACAGTCCTCACATAGCTGTTAAGAGAATAAATAGCTGGTAAAGAACCAAGCTTGTATATAGTATGTGCTCAAGAAATGTTCTTTTTCCTCCCTTGCCCAGCCATTTTAAATTTGTGTCTTCCTCCTTCCTCCTGTATGACCAGGTTGATGCACCTTTGGTGCTGTGTGTGTGAACTGGTGAACTCACATGTCAACCTCTGTGTGTGGCTTATATGGTCAGAACACTTCAGCATCCTGGTCAGCTGCTTTGCTACACTTTGTCCTATTTCTTCTTCCCTTTGTCCTCAGACACCCTAGCCTGCTTTCTGCTGGATTCATTACTTCTCAATTCCTGGCCATTCCTCACCTGCACAGCAATTTGTTCCCTGGGGACCAGGATTCCGAGTAAGACTCCAAAACTGAAACGGATTTTCACCATTTCCTAAGCATGCTGGCCCTATTCTATGTCATCACTTCAAGCTCATCCACCGAAATGTCCTGTTTGTAATGCCACTACAATTCTGCCTGATTATTGCCTATACTTCAAAGCCTAGTCAAATCTGTTTGCCAAAAGAATGTTCCCTGCTCTGAAAGACTCAGGTAGTATTAATTGCCTATTTCATTTGATTCTGTGCTAGACAAAATAATTTATTCTTGTATATAAATATGCCACATTTCTCTACCTTGCTCTTGTCAATTCCCCAAAAGTAAGAACTGGGTTTCATGTCACTTTGTTTCCTGGTGGCCCCTGGCACTTGATAAGCCTACTTATTCAGTCGGCCCTAAGTAAATATCTCTAGGATGAATGAATGTGCACAATCCAATGACTTCACTTAGAACTGGGAACCAGTTACAGTAAGGCTTAGAAGTACTTCTGGGGGTTAGATGTATCTGGCAACTCAAGAATTTCTACCACCTCTATTATGTTGAATCTCCAGTGATGTCAGGAATTAGTTTAATAAGCAGATCTATAGATCAGGAGAAAAGCTTTGGCTCAAGATCCATATCTGAGTTATGAGAGCAGAAAAATACGTAGAAATAGTGACTAGAATATGAGGAGAGAACCAGAGGAACAAAGGTATTTAAGGAGCATAAATATTTGTGTTTATGAGTGTAAAATTATAGCCAAGGAGGCAGGAGATAAACCAAGGAGCAGTGTTAACCTGGAAAATAGAAACTTTCAATAGCACACTGCTCATACAAATTAATATAATAGACTTAAAAGTTAAAAACATTTTGCCCTTTGAAAGACAGTTAAAATGAAAAAAATGAGCCAGATTTGGGGAAAAATACTTGCAAAAACACTTATCTGACAAAGAGCTGGTATCTAGAAATAAATAAAGAACACTTACAATTTTGTAACAAGACAAATGACCCAACTGAAAAACTGGCAAAAAATAAAAAATAAAAAGGGAATTTCAAAAAAGACGACAAACTAATGGCTAATAGGTGCATAAGATACTCAATCTCACCAGTTATCAAGAAAATGCAAACAAAGCCATGAGGAGATGTGGCTTTATTTACACAACTACTAGAATGGCTAACACGAAAAAGATCGGCAATATTAAGTTTTGGTGATGACATTTCAAATCACTGAAACTCCCAACATATTGACTGCAGGAACTCAAAATGGCTCTGCCCCTCCGGAAAAGTGTGGCAGTATCTTAAATTACACATATTAAACCTATCTGACTTTCAACAGTTTAGTTGGCCTCAGAGATTCAAAAGTGCTTCAACTAACGTACACTTACCAACAGTTGAAATCAAACACAACATTCACGGCTATCGTATGCCTCTAGGTATCTGTGTAACATAAACATGCAGGGACATCAATGCCCTTGAAGAGCATGGCAGACCCACTTACTGACATGGAACACCTTCTCAGATACATGAATATATTGGTACAGAACCCCTCTGGAAAAATCTACTGAATACAAGAGATTAGAAGCTGTGCTTGCCTCTTAGATCAAGAATTAGAGTCTGGGCATTAAGAATAGAAAGGAAATTGACTTTTTCACTATTTTTTGGTACTATTTCAACACTTTTAATTAACCACATGAAAGCATTATCTTAAAAGATATATGCCATCTATGCAAATAACCATTGATTTAAAAACACGTATCAGTTCAATTGAGACAAGTGGGCGCCTTGAGTAGAGGACCGAGTGCCTTCATTTAGGATTCCACTTACACAGGATTTCATACATAGCGAGTGCTCTGCAAACATGACATTTTCCGAAAACAAAGTGAAACTTGTTTCAAAGCACTTTATAGATCTTTAGTGGAATTCAAAAAGGAAACAAGTAAAATTACAACATCAAAAAAAAAGCATAAAAATTCAAAAGTATTCCAAATTTGAGTCTAATTTTACCACAAGGCATAATGTAGTAGCTACTAGATTAACAAACCAAAATTTCATCTCCAATGTTGGGAAAATCTCTTCACTTCTCTGGACTTTTCTAATCTATAAAATGATGATGGCAGTGCATGTGTAGGAGTGAGGTTAAGTTATATACATTTTAGATATTAAAAAAAGTTAGGGCAGGCAAAATTCTCTACATGTTTTGTTTTTAAACCAGCTTTATTATAATTCACATAGCATAGAATTTATGTATTCAAATTGTACAATTCAGAGGTTTTGGTATATTTATTTTGGCAACCATTCCCACAATCAACTTTAGAATATTTTTATCATCTGCCTACTCCTCTCAAAATCCACCCCATTGGTAGTCATTTCCCTTCTCCCTACTTCATTTTCCCACCCTACCTGCCAGACCTTGACAACCATGGGTCTACTTTCTGTTTCTACAGATTATGGATTTGCTTATTTGGAACATTTCACATAAACTGCATCATACATGTGGTCTTTTGTGACTGGCCTTTCACTTAGCATACTGTAATATTTATCAGTACTTCATTTCTCTTTATTGCCAATTGCATGGAGAAAGCACATTTTATTCACTCATAAGTTGATGGGCATTAGGGTGTTTTCCCTTTTGGCTATCAGAATAATGCTGCTGTGGACATCTGTGTGCAAGTTTTTGTGTAGATGTACGTCTTCACTTCTCTTGGGTGCACACCTGGGAGTGGATCTGATGCATCAAGCAGTAACTGTGTTTAACCACTTGAGGATCCACTGGACTTTTTCCAAAGTGGTTCCCCCTTTTTATATTCCTACCATCAGGTTACAAGGATTCCAATTCTTCCACATCCTCGCCAACACTTATTATGTCTTTTTGATTCTAGCCATCCTATTAAGTATGAAATGTATCTCATTGTGATTTTGGTTTGCAATTTTCCGATAATTAACAAGAATTTTTTCATTGGTTTATTGGCCATTTGTACTTTTTCTTTGGAGAAATGTCTATTCAGGTATTTTACCAACTTATGAGTTGTCTTATTATTGAGGTTTAAGAATTCTTTATGATTTGCAAACATTTCCTCCTATTTTGTGGGTTATCTCTTCATTTTCTTGATGATGTCCTCTGAAACAGAAAGTCTTGTTTTTAAGAAGTCATTTTTTTCTTGTCTATGCTTATGGTGCCATATCAAAGAAACCATTTCCTAATCCAAAGTCACAAAGATTTATGTCTATGTTTTCACCTAAGAGTTTATAGCTTGAGCTCTCATACTTAGGTCTTTCATCCATTTGAGTTATTTTTGTATATTTCATGAGGTAGGGATTAAACTTCATTCTTTTGTATGTGGATACTAGGTTGTGCCAGTAGCATTTGCTGGAAGACTAGTATTTCCTCATAAGTTGTCTTGGCACTCTGGTTGAAAATCAATCGAACATAAATGTGAGGGTATTTATGGACCTTCAATTCTATCGCACTGATCTATATATATATGTCCGCCTTTACGCCATGAAAACACATTCTTCATTACTGTAACTTTGTAATAAGTTTTGAAGTCAGAATTAAGGGCGAGTCTCCCTTTCTTTTTTAAGATTGCTTTGCCTATTCTGTGGCCTGTAAATTTCCATGTAAATTTTAGAATCAGCTTGTCAGTTTCTGCAAAGAAATCGACTGGAATTGATGGGGAGATTCTCTTGAATCTATAAATTAGTTTCCATCTTAATATCAAGTCTTCAGATCCATGAACATGGGATATCTTTCCATTTATTTTTTATAAATTTTTCATTCAACAATACATACATTTTGTACTTCTTTTGTTAAACTTATTCCAAAGTATTTTATTACTTTTAGTGCCACTGTAAGCAGAATTTTCTTAACTTCATTCAGTATTATTCACTGCAGATATACAGAAATACAATTTAGTTCTGTCTATTGATTTCATATCCTAAATGAGTTCACCTTGGTGAACTCGTTTATCAGACCTAGTGGTGGATTCCTTAGAATTCTTTTATATGCAAAATCTTATCATCTGCAAATAGTGACAGTTTTACTTTTCCTTTCCAATCTGACTGCCTCAGATTTTTTGAGTGATAAATGAATGCACAACTTAATACTTGGAGATGTTGAACTCAGTATTATATAGATTCATTTTCAAAACAAAGGGGAAAAGAAAAAAGTGCTATAGAAGCTAAAACAGAAAAAAGTCCCAACAAATCAGGAGGCAAGAAATCTGATTCCACTTCATTATTAACTAGCTGTGTGATCCTAAGCAAACCTCTAATTCTGTTCAGATTATATATTCTATTTTCCCAATCTTTTTCCATTTGGCATACCTGTTAACTTCTGGAGACATGTAAAGAGTAGCTTTCCTTAGTTTATTCAGCATTACAACCATGATTTTACTACATGTATTGATCATACTCCTTCTTTTCCATTTTCTCCTTACAAAACAGAATCAAGTTACCAAACTGAAGGGGCATACTAAAAGTATCTTCATGTGGAGAGAAAATATAACTCGTAAAAGTCACAATAGAAGACACTGCAAGATTATAGGCAATTATAAAAAATTATCCTTTTGAGAGCAAGCTGAAATATAAATAAATACTTCAGAGGAGTGTGCACGATATGAGTGAAAATGAGCAAACAGATAAAGCATTTACTGTCTAGTACTATATTAACACTTTAAAGCTATAACGAAAGAACAGTCAATATTGATATACAAAATGGCAAAAGTATATTAAAAAATATACATTATCTACAGTTTTCACAAGGATCATCTTTTAAAATGGAAATTTGAGGCTTTTTAAAATTATAATTTTCATTAAAATGGCAAAAGTATCTCCTGACATATAGAACCACATTAAATTCATCTGCCAAACAGTAAATAGACACATTCCCTCTGCCTCTGCTAATGCTGATGGTCCCAGAATACTAAGTTAAACATTTTAAACTTCATTTCAAGTGTTTTGGAACCTCAGTTTTAATCTCTGACATAGAGGAAGAGGGCTATCCAGACAAGTATCAGAGTCGTCTTTTTCCTTACAACATTGCAGAAAACTCAGAGAACCTTTTGCGGCCTCTGGGAAAGACTTTTCTTCAGTTCCGGCTGTTTTATAAGCCTGGACGTACTGTTCAGTTTCTTCAACCTGTATCAATTTGTCAGCATCATTCTTCTTGAGCTGGGCTGGTTTATGCTTCCGAGAGCCCTGCTTCATTTTTTCAGTTGCGTACTTAGCTTTCCCAAACCCGGGGATACTTTCTTCATCAGAGGAATATCTTTCAAGGCAAACACTTTTCCTCATTACAATATTCTGAGTGGTTTTCAAATCAACTGTTCTACTGTGATCAAAAGACGTATTTGATGGTTCAGCCTTAACATCAGAGGTCTTTACTACCATGTTTTTGATAGAATGAGGTACAGAAGTATTCACTTTATAGTTTTCTTGGAACAGCTGGTTTCCTTTCAGAACTTCAGAGTTTCTAGATTCATTTGGCAAGTAAATTCCCAGAAGATCCTTTGAAAGATGTGATGGATAAACAGAACTACTGTTAGCAATACAAGATTCTTTTACTGTGAGTAGAGATAAAGTTTTCAGGTCCGTATCTGGTTGTACATTATCCTGAGGATGTGATGATTTTGCAAGTATTCGTTCTTTTAAAGGCAAATCCTGAAGACATAAGTCAGTAATGCCAGAAAGTAGATGCTCCTCAGGTTTAGTCTTTCGAAGATCCCGATCCAACACGTTATCACATGACAACTGTCCTGGGATAGTTTTAAAGCTATCAGGGATGGCTGTTTGAAGCTCTGATTTTAAACCATGAGAGCAAGAGTTCCTTGGAATAACTGGAGAATTACTAAAAGAAGTTCCTTCCCAATCAATGGTGCTCAAGTGCAGATCAGCTACTGCCAACTCATTGTGGGATGAGCTATTGGGTTGACTAGATTCTGAAATCAGAGACTTACTGACAGCTTTAATTTGCTGAGTAGCCAAAGGTCTTGAAGCGGATATGAAATGCTCTTGTGTATTCAAACAGAGACCATCTGCCGATAAAGGCAAGCTGTCTAATGATGCAGAAACTGATTCCTGGGGTAATGTAGAATGAGGGAAAATTTCCAAATTTAACTGGGAATTTTGTTCAGAAGAGATTTCATAGGTGGGTTTTAAATTTGTAAGTGACTGAAAACTCTTATCATCTGCTTCTGGCAAATTGTTTTCTTTAGGCTTAGTTTTTATGCCTGAAAAGAAAAAAACACATCATAAGTAAAATCTGTTTTATTTTACTTATCTTGAGTAAACAAATAAAGAGTTCAAGTTGAAATCCATATAAGCAATTTTTGCATTTTTGTGTCAGTGCATTCCTGGAAACTATGCTATAAATAGTCATAAGAAAATAATTATTAACAAAATATTACAAAATACTTTTCTTTTGGAAACATGTTATAATCAAATTCTTTTCCTCACCAAGTTCTGGAAAATAAAGAAAATGTATATATAATCCAAAATACACTACATATATTCGTTGCTCAATAAGTGGTTACTATAATTACTATTATTAACACTTAAGTTACTAGACACAGATTAGAAGGGTTTACTCTGGCTTTTCAGCTTTAAAAGTATGTCAAGACAAAGAAACAAGTATACATTCTTACTCTTATGTAGAAATTTCTGCAAAACTTAGACAATATAGATTCAAACAGAACTGACAGATCTTCTACAACATCTATGTGTGCCATAAATAGCTATCAAATGAGATACTTACTTTCCTTTTTCTTCCTTGTAATTTCTAACTTTTGCTTTTGGTAAATAGCAACAATCTCTGGAAAAGCTGCTTCAAATAATGACTCTTCTTCTATTGTTTGTAGAGTTAATTCTCCATTTTTATCTTCTATAGTATAATGTTCTAAAAGATTAAAAATATAGTAAACTGGCCTTAATTACAGATTTTAAAAATTCAATTTTCCCAGGTAAGTAAGTTTACCAGGTAAACTAAGTCAGTGGATGATTCACTGCCAATCTTGCTTTACAACATCTCTATTCTAATACTGTGTTCATTCTACTACAGAATTGATTTTCTTATACTTGAAAAAGGTGGAAGGAGATCACTATTAAATTAGAACTTTAAATTTTCTTGCTTCAGTGACAGTAGAAGCAGCTCAGAGAATAAAAACCTTTGTTTAGATAAGGTTAGTCAGTTTTAGTTTAGTATAACAAGTGTCAAGATTCCAGATAAAAAATAGGAATAAACAGTTACCTAAGATTTCAATATTAACTTTCTTTAGTGGTGGCTTCTGAACAGAACGGGACTTACAGGGTCATCAAAAATATAGTCATTCCTCTTATTCACAGGGGATACAATTTCAGATCCCAGCAAATCCGTGAAACCACGAGTAGCATCGAATCCCATAGATACTATGTTTTTTCCTAAACACATGCTCATGATAAACTTCAATTCATAAATAGGCATAGTAAGAGACTAACAACTACTAATAAAATAGAACAATTATAAAAATACACTATATTTAAGGTTATGTGAATGTGGTCTCTCTCTCTCTCAAAATATCTTATTGTATAGTGTGTTTCACTTAGAGAAAGTACTGTGAAACCTCTCTTTGGCATATACAAATTGTCAGCATCCCTACTCTCGCATTTTGGGGCCATTATTAAGTAAGATAAGGGTTATCTGAACACAACCACTGCAATACTTTGACAATGAATATGATCCCCCAAATGGCTACTAGTGACTAATGGGTGGATTGCAAATACAGCATGGATACACTGGGCAAAGGGATGATTCATATCCAGGCAGGACGGAACTGGAAAGCTAAAGATTTCATCATAAAGGCATGTAATTTAAAATTTATGAGTTGTGTATTTCTAGAATTTTCCATTTAATGTTTTTGAACTGTGATTGACTGCTGGAAACTGAAACCAGAGAAGTGCAACCACAGATAAGGGGTTTCCACTGTACTATTTTCCAGAAGTTATCAATCTCCTGAAGATATACCCAGGCTTTGTGGACTCACAAGCAACTTATAAATGAAAATAAGAATGCTTATATGTAAACTGACAATAAGATATACAGTAGTGGACTACATATTCTCATTTATTCTCTATGAGGGCAAATCTGCGTGAAAAGCCAAACTCTAATGAAAATAGCAGTTGATGAGTTTCAAGTAGAAAGAATGGCCCTGGCCGGTGTAGCTCAGAGGGTTGGACATCATCCCACAAAGCAAAAGGTCGCCAGTTTGATTCCCGGTCAGGGCAAGAGGCAACTGATATATGTTTCTCTCATATACTGATGTTTCTCTCCCTCTCTTTCTCCCTCCCTTGCCCAGTCTCTAAGAATAAATAAAATCTTTAAAAATAATAAACTAGAAACAATGGAAACACATGGACTTAAAGTACATTCTCCTCTAGTTCCCACAAGGACAAATGAAAGTAGGCACTCTGTACTCAGTTCTAGATAAGAGATCTAGACAGATCTCTTATCTGTACAGTCCTACTAGGTTAATGAAAATATCCTATAGTTGGTGGAAGTGTTCCAAGCAGTTTTCAAAACTCAACTTTCTATTTTCTTATTATTGCTTAGAACTGTTTATCTAATTGTTTAGTTCATTCTTCAAAGTTACCTACAACTTAAACCTTCATTGACAAATCTCTCATTCATTCACCTACAATCACACAATCTAATCTCAACGCCAAATAGAAATGTGTTTGTGATTGTTTTCCATTTAAATATTTTGTGCTTTTCTTGCCTTCAGTTTTGGTGCTAGTTGAAAGAGTTCACTATATTTTAGTCTGTAGCAAAATAAAAATAACTTGACAACTATAAATTCCCATGAAAACTAAAGGGTAAGAAATAGGAGGGGTAGAGCACCCTAGGTGCCTTTCAGCAACCTTGATTTCTTTAGACGCAGCTGCACAGTGAAATCCAATGTGCAGACTGCAGCAGCATTTTCTTGAGAAATATACACCAGAACATTAAAATAAAATTAAAGTTTTTCACCTTTTTTTCTTTAATCCTCACCCAAGGATATACGCATTGATTTTAGAGAGAGAGAAGTGGAGAGAGGAGGGGGAGAGAAAGAGAGACAGAGAGACGGAGAGAGAAACATCGATATGAGAGAGAAACACTGACTGGCTGCCCCCATTATGTGCCCTGACTGGGGATTAATCCCACGACCTTTTCAGTGTACAAGATGACACTCCAACCAACCAAGCCACCCAGCCAAGGCAAAGAATTCCATCTTTACTATTAGTCAGTCTATTTAAATAGCACAAATTATGAAATTGATCCTGAGTACGTTTTTTCTTTATCTTTTATATACATATGTATGTTTTACATATATGTGCAATATTTGCTAAACATAAATGGTTAAGTGGTATAAATTTTACATAAGTTGAATACATACCAGGCTTTTCCCATTCTATTTCAAAGCAATGAACTCCATTTCTGATCCGGTTTTTAACAATTCTGAAAAACAAATTTATCTAATAAGGTTCATATGTATGAGTTATTTGGGAGTTTTCAATTTATAGATTAATTCAATTTCTACTAGTTTTTATTCTATTTTTATAATATTTAAAAAATATTATAAGGAATTACCACATATTCTTCAATGTATTCAAAAGATAATTTTATTGTCAGGTATATATAGATCTTATAACTATGAGATCTTATGAGTAGATTGTTCCTCATTAGTATTCAGTGTACTACTTTTCCATAAAAATTTTTGTTTTAAAGTCTGTTTTGTTTCTGTTAATTTTGCTACCATTACCTTGGTAAATATTTGTCCAGTAAACCTTTTAAATCTCTATTTTCAAACTTTGTGTAGTTTCATTCTGCACACATCCTATAAGCAGAATTATTTCTGAATTTTATTTACTCATCCAAGATGATTAATTTAATCCACTTTCCTTTTTTGTGATTACTGACATAGTGGGACTCATTCGTATTTCTTATTTTGTGTTTTCTGCAACCAAACTTTTTCTTTGCTATTTCCCTGTTCCTCCTTTTATACTTTTTTGGTTTGATAGTTTTATTTTCCTGTTGGTTGGGAAGATAGAGATTGTATTTAAAATGTTTTAGTGGTTACCCTTATATGTCTACATGCTTTGAAGTTTTAGTTTATGATCAAATTGTAACCATCAAGCATTATACAGATATTCATGTACATATTTTTTCCAGTCACTTTATTAAATTAGTTAAATACGTTTTATCAATTTTTATCTACATCTTCCTTCTGGATTCATTTTTCATCTTGTTGAATGAAGTACATTGTTTAAGAGTGCTTTTTAATGAGGATCTGTGAGTGGTAAACTCTTAGTCTTCATACGTCTGAAAATGTCTTACCAATCAGTGAATAATATTTTAATGATGTCTGGGTTGTCAATTCTTTCCACTCAGAGCTTTGAAATATTATTCCATTATCTTCAGGCATTTATTACTATTATGAAAGATGTGTGTTGATTGTCTTTTCTTTGTAGTTTATCTTTTTTCTTTGATACTCTCCCCTAAACATTTATTTCAAAAGTTTCAAACTTTTAGAAAAGCTGCAAGAATAGTACAAAGGTCACTCACGTATCTTTCGCTGATATTCACCAATTCTGTTTCAGTCCCTCTATTCACTTGACTTTTATTCCCTTTCTGACCCACTGAAATAGACATCTAGTTAAGTCTGACTGTGTCTTTTAGTATTTATTTCTATTTTAAAATCTATTATTACTGCATGTTTGAAATATAAAAGTATGACAAAGAATGAACTATGTTATCTTTTAAAAAAATGTTTTATTTATTTTTAGAGGGGGAGGGAGGGAAAAAGAGAGGGAGAGAAACATCAACGTGCAGTTGCCTCTCACGTGCCCCCTACTGGGGACCTGGCCTACAACCAGGATGTGACCTGACTGGGCATTGAGCCGGTGACCCTTTGGTTCACAGCCGGGCACTCAATCTACTGAGCCACACCAGCTAGGACCTTACTATGTTATCTTGACTGTAAGCCCTGAATAAGCATTTATTATTACACTAGACCTTTCCTCCATCTTTGTAAAGATAAGAAAAAAATTTTAGATCATAAGAAATTCAAATGGAAATACAGGAGCCTCTTCATACAATTCATACCTAACTGGCTGTAGTTGACTAGAGTTCCTTCTGCCAAGCTTCCTTTCTATCATGTCATAGTGGGTCAAAAGTACCAACAATTTTTCACATGCATAGTGATTGGGCCATTCCATTTTTTCAAGAGTAAATCTCTGTAAAAATAATAAAAATAAAACAAGGTTAAGTATAATAAAAATAAAACAAGATTTTCCCATCTTTTAGAGACAAACAACACTCAGATGGTATTTTTTCCTTCAGATTTAACATTAAAGAGGTGTCATGGGGAATACTCACAGAAAAAAACAATGAGCCTCCCAAGGAGGCAATCTTGCATAATAATTCAGTGTGAAGGTTCTTGGTTTGAATGCCAGAATGGTATTTCCCAGATATTGAGTAAATTACCTAATCTCTCTTAGCCTCAAGTTTTCCATCTCTAAAATATAACCTACCCCACGGATTATGAAGATTGATATTACATGTAATGTGTTAAATAATAGCAAATTTTACATGTTCAATATATGTTGGTTACCATTATTTCTGTTGTTGGTAAGAATAAGTAATAAGTAGTTATAATTTACTGAGTCACTCTGTTTCCCTGGCCATTATATTAGGGGTTAATATAAATAATCATTTAATCCTCACAGTGACTTTATGAGATAAGTAATATCATTTCTATTTTGAGGATAATTCATATCCAGTGGTACATAGTGAGTGACAGACTATTCAAATTTCTTTAACTAATTAAAAATCACAGTGCCCTTGTAAACTACACTACCTTTCCTAACGATGTATGTACTTGATCCTGGCATTTTTCGGTCATTAGCCCCGCTATCCCAACATAGCCCTGAATACGACATATCTGTACAAGATATTTAAAGGGTTTTCTAACAAACAGTATAATTATAATTTGTCATATGGTCTGAAAAGTATGGTTACTATGTAGCAAAGAAATGAAGATTAGAAATAAATGCTGGAAAACACATGGGCGGTCAACAGCAGTCTGTTTCAAATCTCCTCTCAGACCAATCAAAGTGATTATCCGTTCTTATCTTCCTAGTATCCAACTTCATACTGTAAAGAACTATTTTCAGATACCTGAAACAATAATAAATCAGGTCTTTGGTACTTGATTACTTTCACCACTTTATCCTTGTTCAAAAGAAATTCTTCAATAACCTAGCAAGAGAAAATAAGAATTGAGACTTCCAACTTTAAAAAAGCTTCTAAAATAAACACAGTTGAGTAATTAATTATTACCTCATGGAATGGGAATCCCTCACAACTGCAAGCTTTTCTGAAAATAAATTATATAAATGTTATTAACACAATCAAACTCTAAAACCATTTCATCCAGTCTCCTCTTAATGAAAAATGTCCTTGTATAATATCCCAGTCATTAAGTTTCGCTTTGAATAACTACTCAATTACTGTCTTCTGAGATAGCCTAATGTTTTAACCGAATCAAGAAAAGCATTTTGTGAAATGTTATTAATTTAGACATGGACAAAAGTTATATGGAAATAATTCAACCACAGGTTTGTAAAATAGGTCATGCCAGAAAAGAATGAGTGAAAAAACAAAACGTACTTCTTAATATTGTTCTCCAGTACAACCAGCTGCCTATCGTGCTCTGCTTGGTGCCACTCACAAGGACAACAGTGTTCATAACCATGTGGTTCACAGCATTGGCCAGCTGGACAAAATTTGCACCCATTACATTTATGATCCTTAGGTGAACCTTTAGGGAGATACAAAAATGTATGATTTGCACTGCTTTTTTGAATTATCTTCTACATACACTGTAAATGAATACCACCTAGCACAGCACCTCACTTAGAGAAGGGTTTCAATACATTTAGGTGTAACAGACTAATGCACACAATAGTAATTCTTATGGTGAAGTAGATCCTGAGCTATTACTATCATATGATATTTCTTTGTTTTTCTAAATCCCTCTTCAATCTGAAAGTGTGAATTTATGACTTGAAATTATACATTCAGTGGGGAGGGATGGGTGGGTGGGCTGGAATGGGAGTGGAGGGCAGAAAACTGTACTTGAATAATGATTAAAATAAAATAAAAAAAGAAATTATACATTCATAATAACAATGGAAAACTTTGGAATTAATTTGGTAGCTAAATGCAAGAAAAGTAGGCTATAGTTATTAGTATTAAAAAAGATTATTTACTTACTAGAATAATTCATGAAATACTTTCCTTAATCAGAATATTAAAAGAATAGGATGGTTAATTACCTCTTGTAATGTCTACATCTCAGTTACCTGTATAACTATTTTTAAACTATGATCGGACATGAACAAATTATGACTGTGGCAGAGGTATGGGGCCCTAGTTCCTTCTAAAGGGAAAGCATGATCACTGTCAACATTGTTTTGAGAATACAGAAGAGCATACACAATTGATATGACCTAAGATTGTCATTTATAAGGTATCAAGAAACTACAGAATGGAACCTAATCTATAAGGAAATTATATCTTCCATGATTTCATCCATAATATAACAATGTTAATGAAAACATATTAAGACAAATAGATACAGCATAATTTCTCTTAAAAGTTGAGCTAATATGATCTCTCAATCTCTCCTGAGAGTAAAAGACCTTTTTACTCTAGTATGTATCAGTGACATCTATTTATATTTACCAAAATAAATGAAGAGAAACCAAGCCACTTTCAATAGTAATGAACATGTTTTAGAAATTAGTTTTGAGGCACTATCTTCACAAAATAAAAATGCATGATAGGACAATTAAGAACAATTTAAGTACATAAATGTAAATCACTGATATAGAAATAGTTTCAATGCCATTTTCCTCTAAGACTATTAGCATAATTTTTCCCTTATAATGGATTTCATATTAAAAGCATAATTTTAAGATCTAAGTAACTTGGATTCATAGTTTGAAACTGCACTTACTCTATATTTACCATTTACATCACATTATTTCATTCAACCAACATTTACTGAGTGCCTACTGTGTACGTGGGACACAATTCCTAACTCTGAGGACACCCACTCCAGTGCACCTGTAACAACAGGGATGAGAAAGTGGGTATCCGTCACTAATGCTCCGAGATTCCATTACCTATGTCTGCTTACCTGGATGGGAGCACACAGAGCAATGAGCCGGTTTTTTAGTAGCTACCGGTTGTTGATCAGAGTAACAAGATTTTTCACTCCACTGAGTAAACCTTTAAAAGAAAATGGCTTTAAAAAGAATAAAAACATTGAACAAAAAACAAAACAGCAAAACAAAGCCAAAAAGGAAAAACAAACAAATAAACCAAGATCACCAAAATGTCATGTTCTCAAATACTGGGTTAAATCTGTTCCCTTCCCACCTGACAACTTATTTTCCCTTTTGTGGTAGATAAAGTTGCTCACCTAGCCGGAGAAAGTCCTTAATCTGTGTACCTCAACTTTAAATGTGTCCCAAGGACAGAAGAATTGCAACAGGGGAAGAGAGAATGTCAGAGAGAGGGCGAGGGAGAAGGTGGGAGAGTATGTGTGTGCGCTCATATATTCATTGAGCCTTTTTTAAAAAACAATCTTCACTTAGGCATACATGTAGGGAGAATGATTCGTATACATCTATTTTTTATATCTTTTCTAAGTGCCAGAGTAAAAAACAAACAGAATCACGTACATGAACACTTCTGTGTATCAAAATAAGAGTGAAGGGCAAAGGATAAAACTAAATAAAAGATTAAGCTTCTGGGTAACTGTTTAAAAATCCAGATCATTTGAAATTGTCATTTTCTTCATCTCTAATGTAAACAGCAAGAATATTACCTATTTAATGAAAGATGTTAAGAAAATGTATATCACTGCTAAAATGTCTACTAAATAAAAGTTAATTTTTGGCCAAAGTTCCAAGTCAACATAAAACTACCAAGAGGACAGTTAAACATTATCATAAAATATAAGTTCTGAATTGTTCCTCTACTTACAGAAGTTAAAGTTTAATGAAAAACTAAATTATCTCTTCAGTTTACTGTGTGGTAACTGGCACTGAGAGTTAGTATTTAGCTTTTGGAATTTGTAACTCATATACTACCAAGACCAAGTACAAGCTTGCTAACAATTAGCATTTATTGCTGCCAGATGTTAGATAAATAATGGAGCTTCAAAAGTGAATAAAAGGGGGAAAGTCGTCTAAGTTAATCAATATTAAAACAACGTAATTATAACAAGAAATATAATTTCAAATGTTGAGACCAACATTTAATAAAATGTTGCCAAAATTACAAAATTGCTGAAACTGTTTTAATAAGATTGATTTGTAGGTAGCCAAGGACCATATTTGCTTGTTTTCCTTCTTTTATTATTTTTCACAATTCCAAATAATTTCTGAACTCACCTCCATGCCAAAGTACACCCTTTTTTCCTGCTTTGGCACAGTAACCACTGATAGCAATAGTGAATTTATCGAAGTTTTAGCTCTATCAATAGCTTTACAGCTGAAAGAAAAGTATTATAGGAAAGAGCACAGTGATTTGAAATTGTTTCCATGGTCATTCCTTCTTGATTTCCACAACTAATGTTTCCTTTCATGCACTCAAACCTAAGTACAGGCCAAGACTGCTTTAAGTCTTCAGTGTCCTCGTTTTTTCCCTTAGGTACGATATTCTATCATCATTAATATTAACTTTCATAATCACTGCTTTATTAAGTAAATATAATTCACATGCTTTCAAAAGTAAACACCACACTTTGTAAATTTCAATATATTCCATATTTGTCTTGAATTGTTAAATAGTACAGTCTAAATTAATCTGAATTCATGTATTACTAAATGTATGGTTATAGAAGGGCAGATCAATAAAAATTTTGATCAAGTGCAGTGCTACCTATTACATATATGTAACATGTCAAGCACTTCATTCATAAAAATATATTCAATATGAAGTATTTTATAATAAAAATAATTGTACATATAAAATTACTTTAATATCATATTATCTTTACTTGGTGGTCAAATAGTCTAAAATAGCCAGTGGCAAATGCCAATGCCCATAAATAAACGCATCTGACATTTTACTACTTGTGTTATAAATAATATTGAAAAAATATAGTATGGCTTAGAATATATACTGTCATCTTTTCTTTGAAAACTTCAGAATAAATAAAAATAAATAATTTCAAATAAAAATATAAATCAGTTTAAAAACACTAAACCCTTTTTTTGAAAAGCATGGTATTTTCTTGTAATATTCACTATTAAATTCAATAAGAAGAAAAGCCTGCCCTGGCTGGTGTGGCTCAGTGGATTGAGTGCCGGCCTGTGAACCAAAGAGTAGCCAATTACATTCCCAGTCAGGGCACATGCCTGGGTTGCAGGCCAGGTCCCCATCGGGGGTGTGCAAGAGACAACCACACACTGATGTTTCTCTCCCTCTTTCTCCTTCCCTCCTACTCTCGAAAATAAATAAATAAATAAATAAATAAAATCTTTTAAAAAATGTTTTAAAAAAGAATAAAAGCCTAATGTCACAAGAAAACATAATTTTTAGTTACCTCTGAAGTAAACTCTGCCCTTTCAAAATCTGTATAAGTTTTAATGCTTGCTCTTTTCCAATGCCAGGGATCCCCTTTCAGAAAGTGAGAAAAGAAATTCAAATGTTAATCATTAGGAAATGAATAAAGTGCAATAAGTCCATTCAACAGAATGTGTAGCTGAAAGAACGAGGTAACTATCTAATGACAGGAAAAGATGTGCAAGATACATCGCTGTGTGTGAGACAAAAACCACGGAATATCCTGTGTTGTGATCTAGATTTGTAAATTACATAACAATTATATTGTTAATCTATGCAAAGAAGAAATCAGAGGGTTTATACACCAAACCACTGACAGTGTTTATTTTAGGGCAAGGAGGAACAGAATTTTAGAGGGCATTCACTTCCTTTGTTAAGTACTTGGATAATATTTTAATTTGATCTAACTTTGTTATATTGATAATCAGGAAAAAGCATGTTCATTTAATATGAACATTTAATATTTAAAGACCCAGATGTCAAAAGAGAACAAAGGAAAGTTCCAAGTTAACCCTTAACATTAATAACTTAAGAGAATTAGAACAAGCTCCAACCCAATAAATGTATATTCACATGACAACTTCTGGTTTAAGTCTTCCAGTCCCTATCAAAGTTGATGTGTATGTCTTCACATGATGAGTATGATGAGTATGATGAGTATAGCAGGGCTGCTATAGAGCCAATGTGCACTTGGATAGGCCTTCCAGTTTAAAAGTGTTCCCTAGCATACTGAGTGCCTGCTGGCAAAGGGTCTCTCCTCCAAACTGAATCCCCTTCCCAGCCCAGCAGGATCCTGCTACTAAAATAACAGCACATGGCACAGCAGAGGGCGACCATAAGCCTGTATCTTTGGCATACCAGTTGCTAAATATTTTGGATACCACCCTTCTTTTATTAGTATTTAGCTACCTTTTAATTTTTTTGAAGACAAATCATGTTAGTACATAGCCTTAAAATCCTTAAGTAGAACAGTAATAAATAGATGGCATTTTTGGTTACAAAGGATACAAATGTTCAAAATAGCTAAGGCTAATTAATGTATAATGTAACACCACCAGAGCTAAAGTTGGTTTCTATGAGTTTGCATTTTTTTTTTACAGTTAACATTGGGCTGCTTCTAGTATTTAAGATATAATTACATAAAGAAAATAGCAAATTTCTATTTCAGAATTACAATTATAATACAATAATTTTTATATTATTTATAAGTTGCTTTTCTTCTGCTTCCTTTACTTACTAGCTTAAAAAAATGTTGACTTCTCTATCTGGTCACCAATGACATAAATGAGAAATTAGGGTTAATAATTTGACTTCCCTGCTATTTTTCCTCTCTCCTAGGCTTTAGTTAAAAAAAAAATTGCATGTCCTCCTTCTTGGGAATAGAGTATACAGCATAGCATAATGAGGGATTCAGTTAGAAAACAGGGATGATCAGTAGGGACATAATAATGGGACTAAATAACAAGAGCTACAATACAAGTCATTTTGTATTTTTAAATAGAGTATATAAGAATGGAGTTATTCTTGTAGTTCATAATTCATCACTCACCTGTTATACCTATTTGTTACAGAGTATACGTTGTGCACCTTAAGATACAAATGAAAGATTTTCGTGAACAAAACTGAAGGTAAGGCTCAGATGCATGGAAGGGTGAGTGGCTTACCCCAATAATCATGTAGCCTAGCAACAGTAATAACACTGAGCATGTGCACAAGCTGGAAAGCTAAAGAATGAAAACCAAAAAAAACGAGATGAAACAGTGGTAGAAACTGACACTGGCATGGTTCAAGAAAAGAGTAATTCCTTTATTTCTTTAAAAGGGTAGCTGGACTTGAATGTGATTCTAGAGCAATGGCTTACTGAGATTCAAGCTGTGATAATAGGTATTATTCTACTCTCGTTTACAACATTCAGTGCCGCAATGGGCCAGTTTTTTAATGCCACTTGAAATGCTGATTATTTTTGTTACTGAATAATTTATAATGCCTAAAATTATAAATTAGATTCTTAATCATATAACCATATTATATTCATAATTATGCAGATTATAAGGTACCAAAAAAACCCCACGCTATGAATAGTAAGTAAATACAATTTCAGTGTACCTTTGGAAGATAATCACAGCCAAGTAATATCGCTAGTCCAACCAGAGCATCTCTATCCAAACCTATCTGACTCTTGATGGATGACATTGTGTAACAGTCAACATGAGGGTCCTAGAAGCAAGTACAGGTTTAATCTCCAAAGAGTAAATATTTATGCATTAAACAGCACTGCAAAAAATAAATGTGTCAAAGTTGCCTCTAAATGTTCATTTATTCTTAAACATTTAAATAGGGAAATTATCCTGATCACCAGAATCTTCATAGAATCTAATACTTCAACATCTGGAAATAAAGTCATAGTTTCAAAATGGCTTAAAAATTATAGTATTCATTTCTCCCTCTTTATTGCTTTTTGATGTATATAAAAGTAGGTTTTCATCTTACAAAATTAAACCCTGTTAAATATATATTACTGAAAGTAAATATTCCCTGTAATTGCATCATCTCAAGTTAACATTATTAACAATGTGGTACATATTCTTCCAAAAAACCTGTTCTTTACCACACATATACAAATATTCATTATCAACAATATTTTAAGTAAAAACAGGGTTATATAAAAGATCTATTTGGCAACATTGTTGCCCACTAACATATCTGGGTATCTTCAATATGAACAACACATGCCATTTTAGTAACTGCTCACGCTGACATCACACGCACTCTGAGGCAGCGTTTCTCAGTGGGCACCCCATGAGCAGTTTCAGAGAGAACAGGATTGTCTGGCAGGAGGATTAGCTTTCCCGGCTCCAATCCACCAAATGCCTATAGTCTCCCTTGCCCACCTCGTAGAGTTACAACCAAAATGTCCCCTGGTAGTACCTCTCTAACTGAGAGCCATGGCAGTACTTACCGTTTCCTATCAATGGGCATTTGGGTTGTCACATTTTTGTCGCTATTGACAATGATGCAAAGAACATCCTTGTATATCTCTCCTAGCATATTTGGAGGTGTTTCTGAGGATAAATTACTAAAAGTTGAACTTGTAGGTCAAAGTAATAAATTCCATATACAAGTTTATAATATGTTGTTAAGACCGATTTACAGTTACAGTATGTGACACACCTCCAGCCCTTAGGAGAGAGACCCACATTTCGAAGAGAACAAGCCATGTGACAGTGGTAACAGCAAGCATATTACTTGGCCATCGCTCTGTGCCAGGCACTATGATAAACACTTTACAGGAATTGTTTTATTCGATCATTTAATAATCCCGTTTAAGATTAGTTTTTTAAACAAAAGCTGACAGAGAAAGAAAAACACCTTAGTGTTCATGGTGAAATTCTTGTAAACAGTCTGAGCCCCGTAAAGGAAAGCATCCCCGTCATTGGTGAGGCAGCCGTCCACGTGACCGTGGGCATTGAGGTAGGCGCACATGGCTTCAGCCTCCCCCGCAGCCTGGACCCAGGGGATGCCTAAGCATTCCAGCAGTTCCAGACACTGAAAAGAAAGAGCAGATGCAAGAAATCTAAGAACATTTTTATTTTTATAAATCAAATCCTCACTTGAGGATATGCTTGATTTAAGAGGAAGAGGAAGAGGAAGGGGGAGAGCGAGGTGGGGGGAGGTGGGGAGAGGGGGGGAGAGGGGGAGAGAGAGAGAGAGAGAGAGAGAGAGAGAGACATCAATGTGAGAAAGATGGACTGGTTGCCTCCCTTTTGCGCTAGACCCATAATTCCAACTCAGGATCAAAGCTGCAAACTTCTGGTGCATGGGTGAATGCTCCAGCCAACTGAGCTACCCAGCCAGGGGTCCAAGGACATTTTTACTGTTAATTTTTTTCAGTGTTTAATTTACTTTTCTATATTATAAATATTAAGAAACCATTGGAAATCTGAACACTGAATACTGTATGGCAGTAAAGAATGATTGCTGAACTTTTGTGTGATAACAAAAAATGTATCGTGGTTATGTTTTTATTTATTTTTTAAGACTCCTTATCTTTTAGACAAAGGTACTGAAATACTGAAGGAAACAATATTATATCTGAGATCTGCTTCAAGAAAATGTGGAAACAGGGGATGAGGGGAATAGACGAAATAAGATTGGCTAAGAGCTAAGTAACTATAATCAATGACAGACTACTTTTGTGTTGTTTTAAAATTGTTATAAAAAGTTAAACATTCTTAATGTTGATTAAGAAGTAACCCATACTTGATTTTGAAAATTAATTTAAAAATTACCACAAAAAAGTAATGAATAATGAATATTCAATGTTCATTGTTTTGCTCAATGGTATCTTAGGACTCTAGAAATATCTTTGATTGATTTAATAATCTCATTAAGATTTACATCTGTAAAACTACAAAAATTCTTCTCATATGACGGCCAACCTAATATGAAGTCTTCCAAAAAAGATGCTATCATACAATTTTGTCTCGAGGCCTTAAAGTTCTCTTCTTTCCCTCACATCATCCCTTCTGGATAATGAAACTCTCAGATTGTGGAAAACCACAGGGGTCAGTTGTTGGCATGTTCCTAGGAAGTCACGTGTCTATGCAGGATGTTCCTATTAATTAGCTGATGCGTAAATAACCTGAGTTTTCTTTGGATTATGACTTTAACCCAACAGAGCAGTGGATAGTGTATGTAGTCTTACAGCCTAGTGTATTCTTTCTTGTCATGTATAATTCTCAGATTCTACTAGTGGGGAATACTGGGTATGGTGAAGAAACAAGGCCACTAGTTTACAGAGACTGACAGAATAAATATCATCTTTTTTGCTTTAACGGACCAATTATTTGAATGCTGTGTTACATAAGAAAATCTTCTGCCGGATATTGCCCACTGTGGCCAAGGTTCAAAAAGACAAAGGACCATGTCAGACAAAAAGGTTAATTTTCAGGAAGCAGTTCTGTTACAGGTACTATTTTATTGCAACATTATGGTTGCTTTGACCTTCCTATAGACAGATCCTTTGTAATAAACAAAGAGTTTGAAAGTTATTTCAGATTCCTGTGCCATTTGTCATTCCAACTCTCTTCAAAAACCAGCATAGAATTTGTGATGATGCTGGTTGTAAATTTCCATACCCCAAAGTCTCTGTCACGTAGGGTAGACGTGTTATTGGAAGAAGACTCTCGATAGCACTTTTTATGCTTATACATAAAAGTTGGCAGTGAATTAGGAGGAAATACGGCCTAGTAACTGAGGGTACAGAAATATGAAAATGAATAATGGACAAGTAACACTGAACAAAATGCCAGGAATATCCCAATTACCTCAATAAATAGGAATGAGGCAATTTTCTCAAAGAGAGATGGACATCTTTTTGCTTTATACTGGGTATTTAATGCTCTAAGTAGGTGGACCACGGTTATTTCCAGTAACTTATATTATATAAAAAATAATGAGAATCCAGTACAGATATTCTCTTCAACTATCATGAGTTGTTAAGGTGGAATAGACACTGATTGAAAACCATTTTTTTAAAATCACCTGAGAATAAATACCGAAGAAATGATTAATTTATTAAATGACTTTTAAAAAGAAATAAATTTTTTAACCACAATTTAAAACAGGGATATGAATTAAAAGCAAATATGATAAAAAGTTTATATCCTTAATACTTAAAGAACTTGAACAAAAAAAATTAAAACCTTTTTCAGGAGATAACTGGGGCAAAGACATGATGGCCATTATCCACTGAGGGACTAAAACTAGGTTAAGTGTTTAACCTCACCATTAAAAGACCAGTACATACTCATTATGTACTTATGTTTTATATGTATTATATAAACAAAGAAATATTTTCAATTGTGAATACTAATAATACAAAGATAAACCTCTTATCATTCAATGTTCTTGTAGGTACACTGAAATTGCTTATCTCCTATCTATATTGGTGAAAAGTAATTGGCAAGAGCTACAAAATCATTCCTAAACTTTGGTCTATCTATCCCAATTTTATTTTAAAATCCAAAATCACTAGAAAAAGCTAGACACACAAAAAGTGTTCATCATAATTTCACATATAATAGAAGAGCTGAAAAATAAGTAATATATACAATCCTGGGGAATGATTTCATAGCCCTCACATGTTGCACAAATGGTTACAACAGAATGTGGCAACAGGAAAGTATGGATATGATCCATTAATTGAAAAATCCAGACCTCCGGCCAAGGATGTGTAGGTAGACACACTGTGCCTCCTCGTACAACCAAAAGAAGGACAACAACAAATTTAAAAACAAAAAACCAGAACTGACAGAAAATTGAACTGTATAGAAATCCGACAACCAAGGAATTAAATAAGAAACATCTATCCAGACTGGTAAGAGGGGTGGAGACGGGCAGCCGGGCAGAGAGGACTTGCGGCAAGGTGGTGGCTGGAGGACCTGCAGAGGTGGTGGATTGTGGATTGGGCAGTCCCACATTCAAATGCAGATAAACCAGGAGGAACAAATGGGGAGCAAGACAGACCCATAACCCAGGGTTCCAGCGCGGGGAAATAAAGCCTCAAATTTCTGATTGAAAACACCTGCGGGGGTTGAAACAGCAGCGGGAGAAACTCCCAGACTCACAACAGAGTTCAGGGGAGAGACCCACAGGGTCCTAGAACATACACAAGCCACCCACCCAGGAATCAGCACCAGAAGGGCCCAATTTGATTGTGGGTAGTGGGGGAAGTGACTGAAAACCAGCAGAGAGCAGAGCAAGTGGCATTGTACCCTCTTGGACCCCTCCTCCACATACAGTGCCACAATGCAGTGACGTGGTTGCCCCGCCCTGGTGAACACCTAAGGCTCTGCCCCTTATACATAACAGACGTGCCAAGACAAAAAAAAAAAAAAGGTCCAAATGAAAGAACAAATCAAAGCTCCAGACAAACAAAACTAAGCAACGAAGAGATAGCCAACCTATCAAATGCACAGTTCAAAACACTGGTAATCAGGATGCTCACAGAATTGTTTGAATATGGTCACAAATTAGAGGAAAAAATGGAGGTTATGTTAAGTGAAATAAAGGAAAATATACAGGGAACCAACAGTGACTAGAAGGAAACCTGGACTTAAATCAACAGTGTGGATCATAAAGAAGAAATATTCAACCAGAACAGAATGAAGAAACAAGAATTCAAAACAATGAGTAGAGGCCTAGGAACCTGTAGGACATCTTTAAACATTCCAACATACAAATCATAGGTGTACCATAAGGAGAAGAGGAAGAGCAAGAAATTGAAAACTTATTTGAAAAAATAATGAAGGAGAACTTCCCCAATCTGGCAAAGAAAATAGACTTCCAGGAAATCCAGGAAGCTCAGAGAGTCCCAAAGAAGTTGGACCCAATGAGAAACACACCAAGGCACGTCATAATTACATTAGCTATGATTAAAGATAAGAATAGAATCTTAAAAGCATCAAGAGAAAAGGAGACAGTTACTTACAAAGGAGTTCCTATAAGACTATCAGCTGATTTCTCAAAAGAAACCTTGCAAGCAAGAAGGGGCTGGAAAAAAATAGAGTCATCCAAGATGACTCTATCCAGCAAAGATATCATTAAGAATGGAAGGGCAGGTAAAGTGCTTCCCAGATAAGGTCAAATTAAAGGACATCATCATCATCACCAAGTCCTTAATATATGAAATGTATTAATATACACCAAGCCCTTAACATATGAAAAGGGACTTATCTAAGAAAAAGAAGATAAAAAGTATGAACAGTGAAATGACAAGAAACTCAGTTATTAACAGCCAAACTTAAAACAAAAACAAAAACAAACTAAGCAAACAACTAAAACAGAAACAGAATCACAGAAATGGAGATCACATGGAGGGTTATCAGTGAGAGAGGGGGTGGGGAGAGAGGGGGAAAAAGCACAGAGAATAAGTGGCATAAATGGTAGGTAGAAGATAGACAGGGAGAGGTTAAGAACAGTATAGGAAATGTAGAAGCCAAGAACTTATATACACGGCCCATGGACATGAACTAAAGGGGGGGAATTCAGGTGGGAGCGGATATGCAGGGTGGAGGAGAATAAAGGGGGAAAATGGGACAACTGTAATAGCATAATGAAATATATTTTTTTAAAAAGGAAAACCCAAGATAAAAATTATAACACCATTATTGTGGCAAGTTTTAGAAATACATAATTTGAAAAGCAACAAAATAATAGAAGCTTCCTATTGTTTTAACATTTTTATTTCATGGATAATTTCTTAACTTATAAAAATATAAAACATTTTATATGTAATATATAAATATATTAAAATATAACAATCAATACTTTTAAAAATTACAAAGCCCCAAGGAAAGCCAAATGTGTATTCAGCATATGAACAATCATCAGTCATGGATGAGTGAGGTATGAGTTATCGAGATCTTTGTTCTGGGAATTATTTAAATGGGAAAGATGTCATAAAAGGTAACCTATATCAAGTCCCCACTATGTATTAGTTGCTTTTGATATCATTTAGACATCTTTTCCAATTCTCACTGCATCCCTACAAAGTATTATTATGCTCATTGCATAAAATAGGAAATGAGGCAGATATAAATTAAAAATCTTGCAGAACACCTTGGAGTTTCAAGATGCCAGAACCATGGACTTGAAATTGGGTCAGTTTCACTTCAAAATATAAACTCTTCCCCATCCATACTGGCCTTCTGTATACAATAAGGCTAGTGGGTATTAAAGAGAATTATATAATAATCTTTACTAAAGTTAAAATGTTCTCTCCAATTCAAATCAGAATTATTAAATCAGGTCCAAATGCTCACCTCTCTTAACACTGATTTAAAATGCGATCTCCCTGTTTTCTGAGACCATGTTTTTCCAGAATGCCCATATCGAATCTGATTCCTCTTGTTCATGACATCAGTTTTCAGTTTTGGGGGCTCCCCTTCCATAACAAATACCAACTTTACATCCATTAGTGTTAAATGTGAGATACGAAAAAATAAGTTCCTGAAATATAAAAATTAGTAACATATTAATCATATATTGATAGCAAAAGTCAGCATAGCTGTATGACATTAATGGCAAGAATATTAGACCAGTACCTAAAAGGTTACATGCAGTATTTTAGTCATACGATTTTATTTTCACTGGATTGAGAAACTACTGAATGTTTTTAAGCAAGGGAGATTTATGTTTTTTTTATGTACTATGTGGAAAACAGTTTGGAGGAGGGGGAGGAGGCTAAGAGCTGAAGGAGGGAAGCCAGTTGTCATTTCAGGAGTACAGGTAAGAGATGGTATTGGCATACACAGAGGTGGTACCTTTGCACATCGAGAGAAGTTTATGAACAAACACAAAAGCATATTTTGGAAGGAGAACTGGCAAGACTTTCTGACAGACTGGACATGGGGAGAGGTAAAACAGAGAGAGAACGGCTACCAAATTTCAGTCTCCAAAACATCCAAGTGGATATGTTAAATAGGCAGCTAGGTATGTTAGTCTGGAGCTCAGAAGGTTTGAGGTACAAATTTGTGAGTCATCAATATAGAGACGACAGATCTAGACACATTAATCTATTTTAAAATCTCCAAACCAAGACATCAAATGCTTGTGCAATCAGACATCTATATTCTAAGAACTTTTACTATACCTGAGGTGGGGCTTCGAGACGGCTCCAATCATTTTTTTGACTGTCTGTGCTTCACATACCCAGAGGCTCAGATCAACTGCAATGCTTTTCCCACTAAGACTATTCAAGTGAATATGTTGCTTAACAGGCTCCAAAATTTGCCACAAGTCATTCACTCCCATTCTCGTTATGTGCAGTTACTTGACACACTTTTCAAAAATTTGCAAAGGGCACAGAAGCTCAGAACAGGAATTAAAACATATATTACAAGCTGGTCAAGAATAATTCATAAAGAGGATTCTCCTTATTCTTTCATTAGTCAGCTTTTTGGAATGAACCGAGAATGGCTAAAACATTAAAAATGGTGGTAAATGACATACTGGCTACAAAACGTGGATGCAACTAACAAATGAAAAGCAATTTGTGTGTCATCAAATAAGCATTTCTCTACAGTACTGAAAAATAGTTATCTTTAAATTTAATGTAACTCAAATGTCAATGGTCTCTTGTTCTTCTTCGTTCTTTCCTCTTTTCAGACAAGATCAGAAGCATTCAGGGTGGTATGGTTGTAGGCTCTTTCCTCTTGTTTTCTACATCCTCTTTAGCAGTGACTGAGAATACATTTTTTCACATGGTTACCTGAATATTGAATGACATTTAACAAATAAAAGAAAAATTACAAAAAAGGTAGTAATTGGCTTTGTTCCAGCTAATAAATGCAGGATGGCTAGAAAAACATGGATGCTATAAATCACATTTACCTTCTCCACTCCTTGATTTCCATACCTATAGAAGGAACAGGAACAGCTTCTATCATGATCAGGAATAACAGAAAAAACAAAGGTAAGGACACACACAAACAAGCAAACAAATCAAAAGAAAAACAATAGGTTAATGAAGGAAAACTTTGATGAAGACAGAAAATGCAGAGTTGGAAGAATATAGAATTATCTTTTTAAAAAGAGCATTGACTGGCTTATTCACAAGGTCCCACATGTTCATTGTGGGGAAAAAATCTTTTAAAAGAAAAAAATTTTGTTAAAACTACCAATGGTTCCACTATTCAAAGAAAACTCACGTGAAACTATTTCCTATGTATGTAACATCTGAAAATCAAAATTGGTTTAAACTGCTATTGTAGCCTCTTTGGGGTTTTCTACAGGTCAATTTCTCCTTATTAAACACTTCTATATGTTTTTTCCTATGTTATTATTTGATAAAAATATTATCTGACTCTGCAGCATTTGCAGAGTCAGTCTAACTATACAAATACAATCCAGGTTATCATCCTGTTATCACCTTACTTCATTCCAAAAATATAAAGAATGAGAAGAATTACTCTTCAAAGTACATTCCTTTGTGTTTTTTGTTTTAAATAACCATATGCATGTGTTACTTTTCAAACTAAAAAAGTTTAGCCCCAGCCCAGTGATTCAGTTGGAGGGAGCGTCATCATGTACACCAAAAAGGTTGCGGGTTTGATTCCCAGTCAGAACACATACCTAGGTTGTGAGTTGGATCCCAGGTTGGGGCACCTATGGGAGGCAACCGATGGATGTTTTTCTCTCCCCCTTCCTCTCTGTCTCAAATCAATAAACATATACTTGGGTGAGGGTTAAAAAAAAAGTTTACAAAAATGTGGCCCTATCTGTAATGTATTGGGAAAATAAACTAGAAATCTTTAGATGGTTTACTCCTTCCCTAAATATTAAGTGAGCAAATATGGATATAGTTGATAGGTCAAATAAAAAGCAATGTACTGCAAATTCATGAGTACCTGAACATCAAAGATGACTTCTGTATAGTATAAGGAGAGATCCACACTTTCTGGTCTCCTTCAGAATGCCTAGGAATGAGTCACATGGTCTTAGTGCATATCTTTTCTCTGGCCCTTCTAGTTCTCAAGTTCACTCCTTCCTATCATCTCTCTAACGCTTGATTACACAAGCTGACTACACATATGTAAACATATAGCAATAAATGAAGATTGTACCGTAGTGCAGTGCTGTTTATGATGGCGCATACAAACACACATTTACATATAGGACTGTGATGTAGATTGCATTCCTTCTGAGGGTTGTGGGGGAAAAAAATTAGAAAGAAGCTGAGGTAGACTTATTTTACAAATTATAGTTCTCTAATATAGCACATTAAGATCATTTTGTAAAAATTTCAATGGAATATATTATTCCCTAGGGCAGCCATACCTGGAAAAAAAGAAGCCTAGAATGGATTCATAATATATTAAGATTTCAACAGACTAAATCCCTTAAGCAAGATAAAGAATGCTTTTTAACCAGTGCTTTTAACTAGGCCCACAAATAATATCTTTAATACAACATTATCATTACACTTAAAACTTGATTCTTCATATTACTTTAGTTTCTTTCATCAGAAATATACCTGGTTTAAAGAATGAGCATCCGTGGTTATGTTACAGACCTAGCATGGGTAATTGAACAGATATCAGTGATGTGTACCCAGGACATCTATTTCATTCTTCTATTATAATATGAACAAAAGACTACAATGCTGTAACAATGTCTACTTAAAAGCAACTGGTATAAATAACATAGGCAACAGGAAAAAAAGGCTGTAACAGAATTATGTTAGTTCTCAGGAAGTAAAATTTGAGTTATTAACTCAGAGCTAAAGCGTTTTCCATTTTTCTTTTGTTAAGTGGCAGTGCTAGAAAAATGTCTTTCATTGCTAATCCTTCTGGTCACCATATTTTTAAATCTATTTCCAAGTCTTTCAAAAACACTTTGGTATCTTAACCTACAGTACCTATATATCTACCTAAATGGATTTGAGAAAGCTCAGTCTCTTTTGTGCTCCCCAAGCACACTCCTGTAAAGCAGTAATGCTCTGCTGTTTCTTCATAAGCATGGAAGAATTGCTGCTATCGTGAAGTACTTAACCCCATTTTTTTCTCTAAATGATGGGAATCAAGAGGACATTTTTACAGAAGCTAATCTTTCTCTATGACATGCCCCAAATGAATACTTTTTTCTCTTAGTAACTTGCCATTAATGAATTTCTACTAGGTCTTCATGAATTACTACAAGAATTTTTATAGCCTTCACAACTTTTAACAAAAAATAATGGACTGGAACTATGCCAAGCAACAATATTTAAAGGACAGGGTAAACATGGGAATTGGAAAGTGAGAAGAAAGACTTACAGAAAGAATCTTAATAATGTCCTCTCTTTCACAAGAGGGTGTGAAATTATTACAAATTATAGTTCTCTAATATTTCAAGCACATTAAGATCATTTTGTAAAAAATTCAGTGGACGAGTCCCCTTTGAAGACTCTACAATGAAGAACTTTTCTTCACTCTCCCTCTGTAATAAAACTTATCCCACATCATCTCATAACTCCCCTCAGCTCTGAACTAGAACATTCAATCCCTACTTTTTCTTCACATGAATGCATAATATGCATCTAACTCTTGATTCCAATACCTCTTCAAAGCTGTTCTACCCCTAGTCTTTCCCAAAATACCCATGTGCTTAGGCCAAAAACCTAACCATTTTTAGTTCTCTACCTCCAAACTCTATACTAAATCCCTATTTCTAATGACACTGCCCTGGTGCTGCCTGTATATAACTAGAATAGGCTGCCAACCGGCCCCTGCTTCTACTTTTTGCTGCCCTCCATCCCACATAATTGTTGTCCCCTGGAAGCCAGCGTGTTACTGTTCAATAACCTAAAACATTAAAAACAACATCTCTCTGGCAATGGATAATGAATTTCCTTTAAGGTGACATAACCTCTGCCACAAGTTAATTTATTTCTCCAAATATGGTACTACCTCATAGCCACTTACAAAATGCAAAAAAAGAAATAAAAGAGGATTAATGTAAAATTACATGTGCTCTAAATGTAATTTAGAACGAATACTCTTTGATGTAATTTAAAATGTTCAGTAGCTCTGTAACCTAAGTTGTCTAATTTCCTCTTGAAAACCACTTATGTTCCTTATGAAAATCATTCATAAAAGCAGATTATCAAAAGAATACCTCAAAAGTTCTGAAGATATAAAACTATGTGAAACATATATACTTAAAGATTTTATTTACTTTTAGTGAGAGGGAAAGGGAGGGAGAATGAGAGGGAGAGAAATATCAACGTGTGGTCGCCCCTCACGGGCCCCTGCTGGTGATCTGGCCCACAACCCAGGCATGTGCCCTGGACTGGGAATAGAACAGCGATCCTTTGGTTCACAGGCCCACACTCTATCCACTGAGCCATACCAGCCAGGGCTGAAATATACACATATTTTAAAAATAAACCGTAGCATATTTTAAGAAGGCAGCTAGTACAAAGTTTATTTTCATAATCTATTGTTTTACTCTGTCACTTTCTTTGCACCAGCCTCTGAAGTAACATTAAGTAGCAAGAAAAGCATGTAAAGTTCCAGAAAGAGACAGCATGACACAGTTTGTAGGTATTAAAGTACAATCACAAAGATAGAAGAGATGGTTCTTGCATGAGGTCATGATCAGCCTGATAAGGTTACCTGAAAACAGCTCAGTAGTAAATTTAAAAATATTACACATATAAAGCTCACCCAAAGTATGTATAATTTTGCCATGCATTTTATTTTTTAATGGGGTGAAATTTGAAATTTTTGTGGTATGAGAATGGTTAGCCTCTGTGCATAATGTAACAATTTTATGGATGTCAGTCTGATCATGCAATCAATGCACATTACATATAAGGAGTTTTGTAACATTCACAATTCTTAAGAAATAGTGTGACACATGATTACTTACATGAATCAACAAAGTCAGAATAACCCGTAACAAATAACTTTATCACCTATTAGTGGCTTCAATTTATTTGGTTTAGTAAAAAGAGCACTGGGCTCAGGATAGGAAACCTAGGATTTTGGTCTTGGATAACAACCTTAGGAAGACTATTAACTGATCTCCAAAATGAGGGGTGTTAACCAGATGAATTATAAGATTATAAGATTCTGACATCCTTCGAATTTCATGACCAATTTTGGTAGCTTGGTACTAAAAAAAACGAAACACCAATCACTCTATTTCAGATATTGTTTGGTGGAAAGAACATGAATTTCTAGTTTAAAGAAAGGGCTTAAAAACTCACTTCAGGTTAAAACAAAAAGAAATCCTTTGATGTAACCATATGGCGTCCGTAAATCAATTTATGCTCCTAAAACTTCCTTAAAAGCTAATAAGCTTTTATTGGTTAATTATAAAACTGAATGAGGTGAGAAGAGCACAGAACCTTGCTAATTCTACTAATGAATCAAACTGAAAAAACACAGAAAGAGGTCAGTGGTTTGACTTATGCAAAAATAATTTTATTAAACCAACAGTTTTGCAATTTTATTTCAGTTTTAAGCAAAAACATTAGAAAATTTATTTTAACAATAATGCAGGAAATACTTTAAATTACATTATTCCCATTTAGATAAAGACTGGTAAATGATGTAACGTTTACTTCAGTACAGAACTGTTCTAAACAGGATTTCCCACATAATTTTACTCATTAAGACTAGATTTTTAAAATTACTTCATCAGTTTTATTTTCATATGAATTTAGCTGAAACCCTGAATCATAACATAACCCAGTCTTAATTGTGTTATCAATTAATATTTATTAAATGCCTACTATTTACCAGAAGTTCTTCTAGACGCTGGAGATACAATAATGACTACATTTATGGACCTTAGTAAAGGAAATGAAAGTAGAGATAAAAACAATTATAACAATGGGACAAGTACAGGTACACAAGTAAAGAGAGTGAACTAGGAGAGTATATTTAAAAAAGGGGCCTTACCAACTCTAGGGCTCAAGGAAGGCTTCCTAAAGGAAGTGACATCTACGCAGGCACCTCCCAACGTTTCCCTTGGTTTGCCAACAAGGACCCCTTGACCAGATGTTGCGGTGTTTTTAATTTAGACCATGTCACACGGACCGTATCAAGGCAAGGGCCATTTTAAGATCTAATATATATTTGATTATTTTTAGAGGTGAAAGGGTGACTTTGGTGGAAGGAATCTCATTACCAGACATCTGACATTCATTTATGTGCGGGTGGACCCGGGGAGCGGCAAATGCCACTTTTTCCGTCTGGAAACGAAAACGGAACGATCACCCGCAACTTGTCTGCATCAGCATGTCACGTGAAGAGCTGAGCCAAGACGCTGCAGGTGGCGTAAGGCTGGGTAGTAGGCAAGAGCTCTGGACGCCAAGTCAAGGCACTTAAGTTTTATTGGTCCCGATATTTATTGAAGGGGTTTACACCCACCAGCCCGCGCGGGGAAAAATGACTGTATACAAACAACCATATAATGCCTTAAGGTAACTGGCACAATGGGAGTTATTTTCAAACCCTGTGAACACCGGAAAAGAGGAACACCCAGTCTGCCTACGGGGATCAGGGAAGGCTCGCCCCAGAGGGCCTGGAACAGGCGTGGGAGTTGCCCCGCCGCGCGCGCTCGTGGGGAGGGGAGGGCAGGGCACTCAGGACGCAGAGGCCTTGGCAGAGGTGGCAGAGCTCGTAGCGGCCGACGACAGCGAGTCCCGGCCGCCACGGACCCCGGAGGTCAGCGCGGGGCGTGGAGACGCGCGGCCGGCGGGGCGGCGGGGCGGCAGGGCGGCTCTCCCACTGTGATAACCCTGGAGCCGCCGACGGTGACTCTGGAGAAGGGGCGGACGCGACGGGGACGCGAGCACAGAGCTCGTCCCCAACGCACATTTGAAAGGACCCCATGGAAGGACAACACGGGGGCTGCCGCCTCGCCACGGTTCCGCGGAACTTACCCAGAACACCCTTTTTCCTTGGTTTTGGGAGACGTCCCTCCGTCGCGTACCAGTTTGGCTTGAATCTTTAATACAGCTGCTTCCAGGTTTCTGAGTTTAGTATTCTCCTAAGAAGAAAATACGTAAAGGAAAACTTCTTTCCTTTCCCAAGCTGAGACGTCTGGAGCTCGGTACCGTGACCCGGAAAGCTCCTGGAAGCACTTCAAATTCCGCGCCTTCTCAGACACGGTCCCGCCTCTTCCGGGAAGTGACTGTCCCGTGCCCCGACCCGGCCGCAGGCTCCCTGCCGGTCCGCTACACGCATGCGTAGAGCTGTTGCCGGGGCCTCGGAGTAATCTTCCCTTTCACTTAGGCAAATCAGCACCCCCCTACACACCACCCTGCGTCCAGCGGTGGTCGAGCCCAAGCTCCAACCAGTTTCACCCGCCGCCCAGGGGCACTTCCGGCCCCTCCTTTAGCCTACAGTGGCGCGAAAACTCCAGACCGCGCACGCGCGGGCGGAGTCCCGGCGGGAGGTGGGGCGGGGCGCAGGCGCGCAGCGTCCCGGGGTGGGCGCCGGGGCGGCCGGGCTCCTGCCTCCTCCCGCAGCAGGCGCGCGGTTCCCGGCGGGCCAACGGCGGCCAGCCGAGGCAGAGACGCCCCCCAGGTGGCCTTCGCTCCCTGTTGCACCGCGACAGCCCCCCCGATCGGGTTCCTTTGGGAGACTTCGACTTGTCCGAGGTAGGGAGAGGGTGCGCGCCTTCGCTCTCCCTTGCTCCGGTTCCATCCCCCTGTCACTGACACCTTAGGGGGTATCCCCCAATGTGTCTGGTAGTCGCCGGGTCACCGGAGCTGCCGCGGTGTCTAGCGTGGTCCCCGTGGGCCTGGGCGGGCTGGCCGCAGGAAAGCTTCGCGCCCTCTCTGCAGGCGGTACGGGTCCCCTGTGCCGCGGGAAACTTGCGGATCTGCGCTGGGCCCCTGCTACGGGCGGCCGTGGTGGCCAGCGGTACAAGTCCCGGCTCTAACTGTGGGACCCTTTTTCCGGCGCCAGAAGGCCCTTTGGCTTTGAGAAGTAGCTTGAGGGGCATAGGGGTAAGGGGGTGAGGTTGTGATCGGGAATGGGTCTCTCACCACGAATCTGATGATCAGCTCACCAGAAGCAATTCAAGTATGTTTGTTCAAGAGATGTATGCAGCTAATACTTAAACTGGATTTGTGGTTAAATCCCAGTTTCATGAAAACGCGAACTGTATCGTCTAGGGAAATTAAATTGTGATGTTTGGAGCGTTCATGATAGCCTTTCTTTCCCCCGTTTTCTTGTGGCGGTGAACTGGAGCAGAATCCCAATCGAGAATTGCGGAACACGGGACTCGAGGGTAGAGAAAGGGCTGTAGAACCCGTAGGGCTTGTGATGATTCCTAGGAAGAGCAACTATTTGTGAAGACAAGTTATGCAAGCGCTTATTACTCGAGTATATTTCATGACTAGGAGATTAAAAGAGAGTGCTTTAAAGATCAGCTATTCTGTTTATGTATATTCAAAAGAAAAAGTAAAGTCCAAACTCCCTGACTCTTAGAAGGCTGCTGTGTAGTCTTTTAAAATATTCAATACCTTTTGCAATGGCCGGAAGGTAGGTAGCTCCTCGGTTGAGAGGGAGCATGTTAGACCTGCTTATATTTACTTTATCTCATTCTGTTATTGTGTGGAATATACAGAGTACTAATTTTATGTTGAAATGTGTATTGAGTTTCTTTTCTGGAGTGGGTGTAAGTACTAAAAGGTTTGGTGATCACTAGACATACTGTTTAAAAATACGTCTTTGAATAAGACAGAATCAGTGTTGTGTGACCCTGGACAAGTGGGTACCACCCTTTAAGTTTCAGTTCCTTTTCTGTAATTGGAGAAAATAATGTAATACCTAACTCACAGGATTCTGAAATATATTCCGAAAGGGTAGAATGAAAGAGAGAGTTACAGTTATATTTGTATATTTATCTATAATTACTATAAGACATTTACTGAGCATGGCAAAAAGTAAGTACAATTGACATATTAAAGTTGTTACAGCAAAAAAGAAAAAACAGGTTTTATTCTCCAAAGGTTTATTTTCCTGAGTGCTTAGATGTAGAATTTTATATAAAACCTGCCTAAATCTTGACTATCACTTTTAGACCAAAGTTGAAAGATTAATCAAAGCTGTACTTGGCTTACTTTCGGGAATTAATACATAACAAAACTTGCCATTATAGTATGCATTATATTTAACACATATTTAAATGCTGCAGTTCTACATTCAAACATACTTAGGTTCAAGTGTAGTCATTAATGTTAGCATTTTTGATTCACTAGTTAAGGAAATACACATCTTCTCTCACTCAACATACTTTTGTTGATGGCCAAATTCAAAATAATTTCTGTGGCTTTCTTCACTCCACTCCCCAATAAACGCTACTACAGAGTGTGTTTAATTGCCTGTGGCCTCTCCATCTCAGTATCCCAGGAGTGCTTCGAACTCAAGTGTTTTCAAACAACTGCATTATTTATGCACTCTCCCTGCTAAACCTCAGTCTACTTATAATGACATTTAGCATTAAAAGCGTGAAAATTGTTTGTGAAAATTAAACACAAAGTAAAACTTTATAAAGCATAGTAACATTAGAGTGGATACATCACAATAGAATCGTTTTTGTAGTTGTACACATTAACGAAAGATAGGAAGAGGAACAGATTAATAGCCAGTTTCACAGCCTGTAAACAATTACACTGTTAGGTAAACTCAGTTGTTCATGCCAGGCAGAAGCTGGACATTAAAGAGGTTTGACTTTGGTTTTTTGTTTTTAAATAATTTTATTTACTTTTAGAGGGTGGGAGAGGGAGGAATAGAGGGAGAGAAACTTCAGTGTGTTGTTGCCTCTCACACACCTCCTACTGGAGACCTTGACCCACAACCCAGGCATGTGCCCTGACTACAGGAATCGAACCAGTGACTATTTGGTTTGCAGGCTAGTGCTCAATCCACTGAGCCGCATCGGCCAGGGCTGACTTTGGGTTTTGACAAATCTGGATTTGGATCTGGGCTCTACTAAATTATAGCTATATAAGCCTAGGCAAGTGTCTTCTTGAGCCTCAGTACCCCCTTTTGAAAAGGAAGGACAGTTGATAAGGATGTTGAGGATTAAAGGAAATACATAAAGCATTTCTCTCAAAAGCTAAGTATGTGTTCAGTAATGTTAATTCTACTCCCCCACATTACCCAGTCTTTTAAAGCTCTTGGTTTCATCTCTTCCTGTCATCTCTGATATTGCTGTTGCTGTTTTTCTTTTTTATGTGTGTGGGTTTTTTTTTGTTTTTGTTTTTTTTTTTTTTTGTCAGTGCCCCTTATCTTTCAGAGACTGGACTCTTTCCCATATTCTGTTTCATCTCTCCTCTAGATTGAGGCCACAGGGATGTTTTTAAAACATAAATCTGTGTGTTTTGAATGTATTATCTGCAATTCTGTGGTATTTCCCAGTTTTGCTGATCTGGAATTGTTTGATGGGTGGACTTAGGAATTTTTTAACTTAAATATATTATTATCTATTGCATCTCGTATGATTTCATGAGATAGTCCAGTATGCCTGCTTAGTTGAGTACATCAGAATCAAGGTCATTTAATGCAGAATGAATGTGTCCGTGGCAGCTGGAAGGGGTGGAACTGGGGGTGAAGTGAACAGCCCACAGCAGATTTCAAAGGAGCAGCAGTTTGCCTTTTCATAACGATGATTTTTTATTGAGAATCCCAATTCTGTTATGTCTGATCTCCCTGCTGTGAGTTCCAACTTTGATAAATGGGAAGTATGAATTATTAGATGCTCACAATAAAATTTAAAATCTAGAAATTTATAATCCTGTTAAAATGTATTTGATTTTTATCCAATTTCCTATGCACATACTTGCTGTAATGAACCCGTGGTTACTGATCCTTCTTCTTGAATTTATCTTTTATTGAAGCCCACATTCGTTCCTGTTCCTTCTCTGATGGCGTTTGGTTCCTGTGAGGGGAAAATGATACGTTCCTTAATTCTGACATTTTTCATGTAAATAAATATTAAAGACTATGAAGAGCTTTGTGGATATATTGAAAATCCCAGAGGAGCTCTTCTTCCACTTCTGTGTATTCTAGAATATTTAAAAGTATTTTGGAGGGGGGGGGGTCTCTGTTTATATGTCTCTTTAGCCTATTGGAAACAGTTTCACTGGTTTAATCTGTATTTAACTCTCGAGACACTTATATCCATTATCAGTAAATTACAAAGTGATTCCTGTTTTAAAAGGCAGGATCCTTCAGTGTCTGTTAGGCGCAAGTTACCGTGGCAACCTAATAGCAAACTGCAAATCCCAGACTAAGCACACACACAGCAAATAAAAAACATTGTCGTCACGTAGTGCACTTTCTCCTGTGTGGTGTAGAATCTCGCATTCATTGTGAGAAGCTCATCACTCTTACCTTTGTGCACTTCCCTCCCCACAATATTTCTTGGAATATTTCCAAGAAAACCCAGTATTTCTTGACTATTTCCAATGTTACTTGAAAAACTGGTGTCTTCTATGAATGGTAAAATACAAAAATCAGTCAGCTGATTTCTAAATGCCTGCTAACTGAGATCATGTATTAGGCAATAATTAAAACAGTGTCTAAAGGGGTGTTGAGTGTTGTGAAAGCCAGAAAGTAATGTTTCTTCTTTGCTTTTCTGTAATGAATGAATTACCTCTCGGTAACTGAGAAGGGAAGTAGCGGACGGATGGGGGAGCAGGCAGAGTTGGGGGAACATGGCTTGGTGGTATTCTAGGGAATTTAAATTAGTGACAAGCTGGAGCTAATACACATTGATTCTTGTTAGTAAATGATTTGGGGAGTATATTTGATTTTCAAGCTTTGAGTTGTATAAGAGATTCAAAATAAACACTAATTTTTTTGTAAAAGAAGATGTTGACTGTTATGTAATTGTGGCTGTGTAATGCTAATACTGTTTCTGGAGGTGTTTGTTTTAGGTTAAATGTCCTTTGGATGTTACCTAATAATACCTTTGGAATGATACATAATTAGTCATGATAAATCAGGTTCTTCATTGCCCTCAGGCTAGGATAAAGCCTAGGTTCTTTAATGTTGTTTATAACAGTTCTTCTCAAACTTTACTATGCTTATGAACCATCTGAGATCTCCTTAAAATGAAGATTCTGATTCGCTTGGTTTCGGGTGGGGCCTGAGAGTCTGGCTATCTAGAACACGTTCCCTGGAGGTGTAGACGCTGCTTGCTGGTCCTGGGACTACGCTTTGCATATCAAGTCTGCAAGTCCTTCTGTGGTCAACTTCTCTGCTGCTCGTAAATTTCTTGTTTGCTAGCGATGCCTTGGAATGTATGGCTCTGCATCGTGGACCCGCTTAT